ACGTCTTGATCGGGATTCACGGTAATTTTTGGTCGTTTCGAAATAATGTCTTCGGTTTTTACAACACTTTGTTTTTTGCCAATAAATTCTTGAGGAACATTAATTTCTTTGACGAATTCTGCAAACTGTCGGCCACCTTCTGGATTTGTTGATTGACGCGGTCTTATTGTGTCGTGTATTAAGTCGATAATATTCGATGACGGGATTACTTCGCCTTTTATTGTGACAATTCCTCTATTGTCCCATAAAATATCACCCGAAGCGTTGAGTATTCGTAGAAAACTTTCGGCTTTTTTCTTAAAAGTTTGTGGAATTGAGGCTATTATTTCATCTTCTGATATTCCTGTAGGCTTCGATTCAATTGCTATGCTTACAGGTTTTCGCATTTGTTCCGAAAAATGTAAATATTTCTGTAAAACTTGAGAATACTGTTGCCACTTTTCATATGAAGACAACTTAGAATTTAATACTTGTGACATTTCGTCATCAATTTGCGATAAAACATCGTCTTTCCTAGTTTCATTTGCTTTAATTCGCTGCATAAATTCCTGCGGTACGAGTAACATTTTCTTTGCGTGTTCCATGATTATTGAAAAAGACTTCCGAGTAAGCCGCCAAGTAACGGCCCTAGCACAAATGGCAAGAATGCACCTCCGTTTTGAATTAGTATCTGTTTCTTCTTTTTTATCTTTTCACGGGGCGTTACCATACGCCGTAAGATGGTTTTATGACGAGCGAGACTTCGCTTCTGATCAGCGGTCAAATCGACTTGTCCTTTTAAAGTGTTGTAAATACACTCACATATGCATTCAATTTGATTGTCGTCCAAACATTTTATCAACGCTAACCGCTCCTTTGGTCCCAATTTTGAGAGAGCACGAAGCAACTCGGAATGTTTCGTCAACTTTGAAACCATTATGAATGTACCAATTGCTCAAGATTCAAACCTTTAATACCCTTTTTTGGTATATATACCACACAAGCGCCATCTTCTTCAAATATCGATGTTCTATAGCGGAAAACATCCGGTGTACTTTGTTTTAAATCGAATAACAGATATCCGTGGGGTTTAGACGTTGCATCATTATACGCTTCTTCTAAAAATTTGGAGTTTTCAGGGCAAATTTGCCGCGTTAAATGCTTTATTTGTGCCCGATCTCGGGGATTTTTGAATAAAATAATGTAGTGTGCATTTAAAGATATATCTCTCTGTCCTTTTCCTTGATGAAATATGTTTTGGGTTAGAAAGAAAACACTGAGGTTACGATGATGACATCCTTTTGTAAAAAATGTCAACAATAGCTCCATTTGATTCACGCATTAAATCATCAATAATTATCAGTACAGGTTTTAAGCCATCGAAACTGGACATATCGGGTAAGCCTTGATGGAATTCAACACCTTTTAGATCTTCGTACAATGACTGCCATTCCCCGTAATGCCAAACTATTTTTTCAAACAGTACAGAGCAGATGTTTGTTATATTTTTTAGAAAGTTTACAATAAAATAACTCTTTCCCGACCCGCTTGGGCCACTTACAAGAGCGGAAAATGGATGAAGAAATTTATTTTCCATTGTAATGTCTCGAAGTATAACACCAAACTGATTAAAAGAATGTAGAACTTACATTTATATTTATTTACATTTATTTGTACAAGAACCTATCATCATAAGTTTGCATATAATCCTCTATCTTATCAATCACAAAATACGGATACTTATGGACTAACTCATGTATAACTAAAGGTTCATCAGTTAAATTTACTAACAAATCGTTATAACTCACATCTTTTTGCTGACGTCTATCCAGAATGTCCACAACTTTTTCTACAAAGTTTTTGAAAGGACAATCATTACCTTCCAAATAATTACCCAAATAATTAAGCTTCTGACGTAAGTAGTCTGCCATAGCGATCACTTTTTCCAGGGTGACGAGTCCCAAGTACAGTTCACAGTGGATTTCTTTCTTCGAAATGATACGCGCAGCTTTATATTTTCTGCAGCACCGTACATGAAAATCTTCTAGATCGAAAGTTTCATCTTCTTCCTCGCGCTTTACTGCTCCGACGATGTCTTCTAATTCGCTTAAAAAACTCTCGAATGCACTTTTTGAAAAATATATGCTCCGATCCTTGCCTTGTATCTTGACACAGGGGCAATCTTCAAATACGTCTAGACCCACTTTCAGGATTTTGGATCCACTATTATTTAGATTAAATGTCGACTCACTGAGTAATTGCTGTCGTTCTTTATCCATAAACTTGTTATGTATGCGCTTACGGTCTTGTGTTGATAAACAGAAATCTTCGTGTCTGGGCACTGGATTATTGTAAGATGAGATGTTGTATTCCTTCATAACATCCCTGTCGAATGCTCGGTGATCATCCTCTGTGTAGCAGAATTCTGGCGATGATGCAATAGGCTTGTAGTAATTGAGTGTCGTCGACAACTTTTCAGCAGTACGAGGATCTCTGGGGTTTGTTGATGGACGAGAATAAGGTTTGCTGTACGAAAACATAATCTGTAACGAAATGTAAAATTAGAAAATAATTGCAACAATTTAATTACCAATTAGAAAACAATTGCAACAATTTAATTACCAATTATATCAAAAAACAGAGGCGATTGAACTTACTTGTAACTTTGAACTAGTACACTGACACAATATCACGTTGAACACTGAACTGAACACAAATGAGAACGAGTCGTCACACACAGTAGCTTTTATAAACTGCGCGTAACTGTAAATCTAATACGTCATCCTCGCGAATTAAATCAAAATACCAAATCGATGAGTCATATTGCGAACAATAGAAATTGATTGATGTGGTGCCATAAAGTCACCCACAGAACAAAAGATGTGGCTATTCATGCGGAAAACAGGTTTAGCGAGTTATGAGTCATACTTGTGCAGGTGTCCTGAACAAAAAGAAAACACTTATACGCCCAGTGTGAACTAAGTGCTTTCCCATGTAACCGGATGTAGAAACAAAAGAAATGATTGATGTGGTGCCATAAAGACGGCCACAAAACAAAAGATATGGTTATTCATGTGGAAAACAGGTTTAGCGGGTTATGAGTCATGCATTTTAAACAATAGATCGTGTTTAATCAAGCGTAAAACCGGTTTTAGGCGAACAATAGAACGTTCGGCAATGTTCGGAAGGGGGCGGATTCTGTTTTACCTGACCTGACCTGATATAAAAAAGCTTATGTTCGTGACTCGAAATTACTTGCGTTCTTACATCTGTACGTACGTGTTTTCTCGTGCTTTGCGTGTTTTTATTGTGAGTGTTTAGTTTTTGTGCATAAATTTCTGCAATGGCCGCCCATTTCAAGTTGTTGTGTCGTGTTTTTGAGAGTGGTCTTCTGTCGGAAGACGATATGGTGGAGGCATATTATTATATGCTCCGAATGGTAACTTCCGGGGAGGTAACTCCCGACGCCGCAGACATTGAACGCTTCAGGCGTCTTCGCGAAGCAGTTGGGGCAATACAAACGCGCCTGCTTCAACAAAATGTGGTAAGTTTTTAATATTTGTACACTTATAAATTTCTAAATATAAATTTCTTTGTAGAATTCCCATCACGTTGCTGCTATAGCAAACAATCCGCAGTCGCAGCCCCTCGACCTCTGTGTGAAAGTAAGTTTATTTAATTTTTAAAGTTTCGTTTTCTAAATGTTGTTTATTTGTACAGAATGAAGTTCCGTCACCCACTATCCATCATCTTCAACGAGAGCAATCTCAGCCCCTTGATCTCACTGTAAAAGTAAGTTCATTTTATTTTTGTAAAGTTGTTTCATATTTTAATTGTAAATTTCATTACAGCATCCACCGCTACCGTCTTCCCCTGACGCCTACAAACCCCAATCGCAGCCCCTCGACCTCTGTGTGAAAGTAAGTTTACTTTAATTTTAAAAGTTGTTTCATATTTTAATTGCACATTTCCTTACAGCATCCACCCCCGACCTTCCGTTTCGTCTTCCCATGCAAAGCCTAAGCGAAAGCGTGCTGCTCCGTGTGTAAATAATGTAAGTTGAATAATAATTTTCAAGTGCGCAAGTTCTAAATGATAACGTCTTTACAGATTCTTAACCCTCAACCATCAACATCGGGACTACAACCAGCCACATCTGTAGCGCCCTGTGTAAATAATGTAAGTTTTGTTTTAATTATTCTAAAACAATGACTTTAATTGTTAACTTCTTTGCAGCTTAACTCTGTTACATTGACCTCTGGTCTGCAACCATCACCACCGCAAGTTGGTCGTGGAGTTCCTCATCGCTTCTCTGTGTTGTCAGAGGGTGAGCGGTACATAAAAAAATTCAACTTGACAGCCCAGCAACTGATGATCAAGTTTAATAATGCGGAAGCCAATGAAGCACCTTTAGAATGGCTTAAGGTATGCATACAAAGCTATTTTATTAAACTAAACTTAACTGAAGTTTTCTGTTTCAGAAATCACTGACAGCTCTTATCAATTACGTAACTAAGAGGCATAGTGGGAGTGACCGTATTGGTATGATGCTGACAAATAGCGAGTTCCCCGACAATCCTCTTGGTTTCTCGTTCCGTCGTGTAGATCAGCTGAATGCTGACGTTATGCTGAAGACTCTGGATAAAGTTATGCAGAGTAACAAGGCGTTCTTCTCCAGCGATGCACTACGAGTTGATGTAAGTCTGATTACCCCACCCAGTGGTAAAGGACGTCAAAGAATGACCGGGGTCAGCTTCGCGGAGTTCTCACGGCAAAAACGTGGAATCATCATCATCAACAACGATGACACTTTGTGCCTCGCTCGAGCCCTCGTAACCGCCATAGCTTTCCGGACCAACTCCATAGAGCTACCCTACCTGAAAGTCGGGCATAGTCTTCAGAAGACTAAGGCTCTTCAACTATGTGCAGCTGCTGGCGTGGATTTATCGGCTGGCGGTACCATTGATCACATACGTCAGTTCCAGGATCATCTCACCGACTTCACCATCGTAGTATACAATCACCGTATGGGAAAAACAGTGTACTTTGAGGGTCCACGATCTCCACAACGTCAAGTACTGAATCTGATAATGGAAAACGAGCACTACAACGTAATCACCAGTTTAACGTCAGCGTTCACGTGCGAGTACTTTTGTGAGCTGTGTCGGGTTCGCATGAGTAAACGACAACATCATAAAGACTGTAAGTACATTTGCCCCTGTTGTCACACTAGTCCTCCGTGCAACAAGGATGCTCCGAACATTAAGTGCGAGGTGTGTAACCGTGATTTCCGCGGCCTTGAGTGCTTTCGTCATCATAAAGACCAGGAATTGTGCGCGAAAGTGCGTCGATGTCGTACGTGTTTGGTTACGGTGTGGAAGGAGAAAAAGCCACACAAGTGCGGTATCAAGAAATGTGTTACATGTCAAGCTGACCGACCAATACGCCATTTGTGCTACATGGCGAAGAATACCCCCGATAAAAAGAAGATGAACAAAGACTTTGTGTTTGTTTTCTATGACTTTGAGTGTCGACAAGACGACCAATTCGAAAATCGCGCCAACACGTACGTCCACGTTCCCAACTTGTGCGTCGCTCAACAGCTCTGCAAATCGTGCATCACAAATAATACAGACATCAACGTCCCTTGTGATAACTGTGGTCCCCGCGAACATATATTCAAAGAAGACCCCGTGAATGAACTTTTAAAACTCGTGTCCTCCCTGGCTCGTAAGAATCGTGACGTCGTGGCTATCGCTCACAACAGCAAAGGGTACGATAGTATCTTCATCTTGAAGGAAATGATGAAAACTCCTTCGGCATGGAATCCTGACATTATCGCTACGGGTACAAAGATTACGTCGCTGGCATGTAACAACAACATTAGGTTCATTGACAGTTTGAACTTTATGCCTGTCCCATTAAGTGCTCTACCGAAAACGTTCAGTTTCCCTGGGTGTAAAGGACACTTCCCACACTTCTTCAATACTCTGGAAAATGCTAATTACATTGGCCCACTACCCTCCCCACATTTTTATGGAGTCGACGAAATGTCTGAAAGAAATCGCGACGATTTCTTCAAATGGTACAATGCAGAAGTGAACCGCAACGCTATATTCAATTTTAAGGAGGAGATTGTAAAATATTGTGTCCAAGACGTCAATATCTTACGGCAGGCGTGCGTGGAGTTCTGGCAGAAATTTTCCGAGGAGAACAAGGTGGACCCCTTCCGCGAGTGTTGCACTATTGCCTCTGCATGCAGTCTGGTCTTCCGGAGAAACTTCCTTCAAGAGGAGACGATCGGCCTCATTCCACATGGAGGGAACAGGATGGCCGATAATCAAAGTCGGACAGCCATCAAATGGCTGATTCATCTACAAACCACTGATGTTCCCGATCTTCAACACGCTGGCAACTCTCGAGAAGTTCGCCTAAAGGAGGGAATCCTTGTCGACGGATACTCCGCAGCTACGAACACCGTGTACCAGTTTCATGGTTGCTACTTTCACGGTTGTGAGTCATGTTACTCCGACCAGACGACACCACTGAAAGGGAACAAGTCTGACACAATGGCAATGCGGCGTGAAAAAACCGAAGCCACTTCATCACGCATTCGTACTGCAGGCTACAATTTAATTGAAATGTGGGAGTGTGAATTCCGCACATATTTAACAAACAACCCAGAGACCGACGCTTTACTGAATGGCCATAATGTATTAAGACACGAGCCTCTGAATCCTCGCGATGGCTTCTTTGGAGGTCGGACAAATGCCATCAAGCTATACCACAAGGCCGAAGAAGGGGAAGAAATCAGGTATTTGGACGTGTGTTCCCTCTACCCCTACGTAAACAAGTATGGGAAGTATCCTTTGGGCCATCCTCGAGTACTTGTTACGCCCGAAGAACTTCACTCCTGCAACTTGAACACCATAGAGGGCATGGTTAAGTGCACTGTCCTTCCTCCGCAAAACTTGTATCATCCCGTACTACCATACAGATGCCATGGTAAACTTATGTTCCCGCTATGCCGTACATGCTGCGAAACAATGAATCAAGGAGAGTGTGAGCACAATGATGATGAGGACCGACGTTTCACTGGCACTTACGTAGCCGACGAACTACGGAAAGCCATCTCCTTGGGTTATGTCGTTCAGGAATTGCACGAAGTATGGGAGTATGAGACAACCCAATACAACCGTGAGTCGAAAACCGGCGGTTTATTCTCCGGTTATGTGGACAATTTCCTGAAAACAAAACAGGAATGCAGTGGATGGCCATCCTGGTGTCTTTCCGAAGAGGCATGTATGAAGTATCTAGCCGACTACATGGAGCATGAGGGGATTCAACTTGATCGGAGCAAGATTGAAGTGAACGCTGGTCTCCGCTATATCGCCAAACTATTCCTCAATTCCTTTTGGGGAAAGTTTGGCCAGCGCGACAATCTGTCGAAGACGAGCATCATCTCGGAGGCTGAAGAATTCTTCAAGATGCTCACGGATCCGTCCATGGAAGTCAACTCCATCATTCCCGTAAACGACGAGACCCTCATCGTCAACTGGACCCTCCCCGAAGAAGCAGTCGAGCCATTGAAAACCACAAACGTTGTACTGGCAGCCTACACCACAGCCAATGCCCGTCTGGTACTATACGAGTACCTGGAGAAGCTTGGCGAAAGGGTCCTGTATTTTGACACCGACTCTGTAATCTTCACGCAGAAATCCGAAGAATGGTCACCACCTTGCGGGAGCTTCTTGGGAGATATGACCGATGAAATCGAGTGTTATGGACCCGGGAGCCAAATTGTGGAATTCGTTAGTGGCGGCCCTAAAAACTATGCATACAAGGTGTTTTCGTCCAGTGCGAACACGTATAGTGTTGTGTGCAAAGTTAAGGGCATATCCCTAAACTATAAGAACAGCCGCGTAGTGAACTTTGAAACAATCAAAGACGCTGTGTTGAACAATGCCCCGGAGACTTACGTAGAGACAGATCGACGTATAGCTCGCACGTGTACGTACGACGTCATCTCCAAGCCGGAGAGGAAAAGGTACCGTGTCGAGTACACGAAGCGTCGCCGTTTAGACGTAGGATACGACACTCTACCATACGGCTATAGAACAAATTAGCTTTAGTTTGTACATATTTAGTTTTTAGTTTGTACATACGTTCCGTGGATTAGGCCTACAGGGGACACCACGTTAAAAAAAGCGCGCCTCAGCCTTACCTCCAGGGTGGTGTGGAAATGGGTTTGTATCATAATTATTGTTTATTGTTGCATTTTTTTTTGTACTGATTTTGTTTATTTATTTGTTTCTGTGATGTAATAAATATAATTAAAACTTGTTTTGCTCATTTCTAGCTTCTATTTTCAGCATACTACAGTGAGAACGATATACGCAATGAGTTAGAGAGAGAGAGAGAGAGAGATGGTGCACAAATGAGTAAGAGAGAGAGCGATAGTGCACAAACCCAAAATATTTTTAAAGTCCTAATTTTTTTAAATTTCCCGCCTTCGGTGGCCATTTTGTTTTTCCGCCATTTTGTTTTCAATTAGAGTAATTAAAATGTAATTACACATGTGTGTGTATGTGTAATTATACATGTGTAATTGTTTATTACATATGTGTAATTACCACATATGTGCAATTATTTGTACAGCAAATTAATCGATCAGCGAATCAAATTAATTAGAGGAAATTCCCAGAAATCAAACCGCTAATCAAATTAATTAAACCGCGAATCAAATTAATCAAACCGAAATTCTAAGAAATCAACCGCGAATTAAATTAATTGGACCGCGAATTAAATCAATCAAACCGCGAATTAAATTAATTGGGCCGCGAATTAAATTGATTAAGCAGCGAATCAAATTGATTAAACCGAAATTCTAAGAAATCAACCGCGAATTAAATTAATCAAACCGCCAATTTAATTAATTGATAACGTTATCAATCAAATCATATGCCAATAAAGACCAAAATCGCACAAAATTTTAATTAATTCCAAGAAATTAATCAAATTTCCCCGAAAACACCCCCGCCCACGTGGGCAACCCCCGCGAATCAATTTAATTGACCTTGATTGACCCCGCGAATAAAATCCAAGATGGCCGACAAGTGACGCGGTTCTACTCCGTAGGTTAACTTTCACTTTGATTTTGATACCTATCTTAATTAAGTAGGATTAGAAATTTTGCAGAAATTTAAGGTTCGCCATAAATTCGATATTTTTTTAGAGATTTTCTGAAATTTCACAGAGATTTTACATAAGTATACCTATTTCGTTAAGACTATGAGAGTTTCAGTTACGATTCTAGCCTACCCTATACTTTTTATTCCATTTTTAGAGAAATTTGTCAAAAAACTTCCACTTACCTACCTATGTGGTGGTTTTGTCCGTCCGTCTGATGTCTATAATTCGAGAACGAAAAGAGACGACGATGTCAATCCTTCTCCAATCGATTTGTACGCTAGTTCACGAACCACTGCTATTGAATACGAGCTGGGTTAAAAGTCGTTGTCAAAAAATACTCCTATTGAAAATCGTATGCGATTCTTCGTATCTTGTTAAATCTACGACAGATTTTGAGTATCTATTTAAATGTGGTTAAAATTTGCTGTAAATTGTATGAGTGTAGGTAGGTATAGGTACCTATATGAAAATTGTAGCAAATGCTGCCCTTTACAAAATAAGTTGCCAAAGCATGCAAGACAGACTCATTTGCAGTGAGGGATTTTCCTTAAAAATTAGTAGGTATCTATACCTACTCAAATGAGGATGATGTACTTGAACTCTAAATACATCACAGAGAAAAATTTAATTATGCCCTTCCGTAGAAGGAATTTTAAAATTTTTTTGCGAATTCGTAAACCTATTCAAAAGACGTGCCACCAGTCTTTGTAACTGTTATGGCTTTTAAGAAAAAAATTAAAGATTAAATGCAAATTTCACCATTTTCTGAGTGAGGCCCAAACGAAACATGTTGGACCTTCAGTTTATTTGGAAATAGTGCTTGCTGTGATTCCCTCTACCACCCATTTTTTTTTACATAATACTCATAGGTATGTAACCAGTGGCGGTTTCTCAATAAGTGCACATGAGCACGTGCACTCCCAAAAATCATTTAAAAAAAACGAAAACTATAACAATTCTAGTTATGTATTTAACATTCTTGCACGTTCGTATCTCGCAATAAAAATAGTTCACTTATCTGAAATGCAAAACCTAACGGGTACACTAACACACCGCTGAACGTGTATTAAGAATTATTCCCATTCCGCCTTCCTGTGCAGTGCACAGTTAGCTACGATCTCTGATTCGTTCAAACGCTACATCGCCTTTCCCCGTGCGCCCCGCGAAGGTCCAAGTTGTAAAGTATTGCAAGAGCACACTCTCATTGTGAACCAGTATTCGCCGGACTACGAAGTAGGGCTTGTTGATCGTTTCGGTTTTAACAAGTAACGTTGCGACGTTACCGTTCATTATTTAAAGACAATTATTAAATTTAATTTACTAAAATTAGAAAATCAAATTAAAATAAAAAATGCGGGTCGCCCAAAACCGAGTTTGGAAATATCGAAAGTCAATAAAGGAAGTCGATAAACGATCGTTTAAAATAGACATGTATGAAAAAACTGACTGGTTATGCGGTTGTACCTTTAACAATAGTCTATTGTTTTCCGTGTTTGTTGTTTGGTGATGAGCTCGGTGATGAGGCATCAGAATGGACAAAGAATTGCTTTACAGACTTGGTGCATTTATCCGAAAAAATTAAAAAATATCAATCTTCAAAGGCACATCATATATCTGCTAAATTGAGATTTAATTTATTAGGTAAGCAAGATATACGGCAACAGTTAAATAGTGCATACCGTTTGAGTAGGTATCGAAAAATGTAATGAGGAAGTAAAGAAGAACCGGTATGTTTTATCCAAAATTATAGACCGTATAAAATTTTGTGGTGCTTTGGAACTTGCTCTCCGCAGCCATTGACAAAACGAGAAAATTCAATAAACCCTGGAGTATTTATAGAGGTCTCATCAATAAGCTTTTTTATGCCATTTAATATGCCCAAAAAACTTCGTGTTGCGGTGACACTCAAAAAATTTTCGCCTCCGGCTTTTTGCCCGTGGCCCCATTTTTAAATTGTGCACCCCCAAGACACACCACTACGCGCCGCCACTGTATGTAACACCCTGTGTACATAGCCTGAGGCGGATTTCCTATTCCAAATAATTTCCAAACGGTCCAATTAACCATTTTTACGCTCTGTGGGGAATGTTACAAATGTACCTAAGGATTTATAAAATGTGATTCAACATACGTATCTATATGACAAAAACTCTCGTACCTAAGTCACAGATGAACTAGGTACCGCTACCGGTATAAGTAAAGCCTTTCTCTTGCTGAGGGGTCATCTTTATATGTAGGTAGATAGGTACCTAAAGCAGATATCATTTTCATTCCCAGAGATTACCCCGAGAATTAGCCCATGTGCTTAACGTGTGCTGTGCGTTTAATTTATTTTTGGAAAACTGAGCAATTTACTCGGCAATTTACCATATTCAAATTTTAGAAAAATTGTGCCATAATTAAGGCATATAGTATCTATCTATAGTTTCCCAGGGGATATGCTATGTACCAAAGCAAAATATAGCTCATTTTGCTCTTGCACATATGGTTAGCTATGGATTAGTGATTTTAAGCGAATGTGAAATGGAACTAAATTAACCAACTATAAAGAGCACAGGATGGTTCAAATTCGTGGCTCACAATTGAGATCTCTGTAACGGTGAGAGATACAGTGTAGGTTAAATGGGGGCAAAGTTGCTCCTTTTTGTCACTAAAAAAGCGCATTTGAAATTTCGTTTTCATTTTCCCTAGCTTAAACGGGTCATTTTTGGGAGAATCTCAGTCGGTTACCAGAATTTTCATATAGGACGCTATAGATGTAGAAGGCTAGAAGCTACAGGGCCTACAGGCTACTTCTTGTTTCTTATGGACGCCATATTGAATTTTTACAGAATGAGATAGAGGACAAACAAAGAAATTCATTTGAATGCATCGCCATGTTGATTCAGCAATATCTAGTTACCCGTGGATGTTTTGTTTGTTGTTAATGAGCAATATATATTTCCAAACTTTCTAGCAAAATTAACGGACCTTACGACACTACCTTCTCCCTAGATGAAGTTTGTTTCTGATGCTGTATGTACCTATGTACCTATTTCATATAAAGGGTGGCTTTATATGAGCCACGAATGCTGAGATCTTTTGCCAAAGATAGACGAGACCCAAAAATTGAATGTAATCTAAATTGCCTATAAATCCACGTAATTTCAACACGGGGTGTAAATTATACAGGGTGGTGCCTAGCGCAACGCAGCATAGGGATTTCAATGGTAATTTCTTTATAGTCAATTATACTAGCTCCCCTAATTATTTTAGAGCAAAAGTCCAAATACGTTTTTTTTAGAGAAAAAAATACTGCATCTGTTCATACTTTTAGTTATAATTTTCCATTTTTCAAAACCGTAGAAATCGACAAAATAAAAAATTACATTTTTATAAATCAGTGATGCTTTGGAATCTTTTAACAAACTACAAGCGCATCGCATCTAAGTTATCGTTGTTTGACGTCGAACGATTTTCATATTTAATTCTGTTACAACTATCCGATGCAAGAAAAAGCGGCAATTGGGTAATGTTTTTTTAGAGAATGTATGCTGCATCTGCATCAGATACTATTTGTTTATCAGAGAGAATCAGAGTACCTA